GAGACTGTTTTCAGCTGTTTAGAATGAACATAGGGAACTTCTTAGAGCCTGGGCTTGTCCATCTGCAAAGGAAGCACATGTGCCTGCACACAGTGTTGTGGAAGCAGCCCTACACATCCCTCCAGGGCTGCTCCCCTCGAGGGAGATTCGCAGCTCCCTTAGGGGCATAGGGCACAGGGGCCTTTCCTGCCGGCTTCGCCTTCCAGTAGCTGAGGCGCTTGAAAGCTTCCAGGTCCCGGTGGGTGCTCATGATCAGCCGGCTAGGGGGAAACAGGCACACGAGCTGGGAGGTGCGCATCACCACTACGCACCAGAGCGGAGCCCGCACGCTCGCCCTTGCACACACTCATGAAGGCACACTCACCCCCTCACAGGCACACACTTGTGTACACTCATAAGCCCACTTGCATACACACTCCCTCACGTGCACACTCAAATGACGGCAGATACACTCATGCACAGGCACACACGTGGACGCTCACACACAGGTACACGCACACTCATTCACACTCATGGTCACACAGGTACACTCACACATGTATACACAGATGCACACACCCTCACTCATATACCTACTTGTGCACATGCAGATACAGGCACACACGTGCAAACGCGCGCCTGCATACACAGAATCAGCTTGTTACAAAGTTTGACCGTTCACACTACTCTTAAGAGCTCAGAGTTTTGGCAACACATGGGTCAATGCTGCAGAGGGGTGGGGAGAGGAATGAGCAGGGGTGGCAGAAGCTCCCGGAGGCCCCTTGCTGCCCCCTTGGTGGTTCCTGCCTGTCTCTCACTGCTCCCTGGGTCCCCCCTCCCATGGGGCCATCCCGGGGTCCCCAAGCCCCTCACGCGCCTGAGACCAGCCCTCACTTGAGATTGGAGAGCTCCATGATGAGGCCACACACGGTGTCTGTTGCATCCTCCAGCCTGGGGGCCTCGAAGGCCTTGTTCCCCAAGTCGTGGGTCCTGTGGGAGGAAGGAAGGAGGAGAGGCCTGGCCTGGCTTGGGACTGCCCTGCTGGAATGCGACGCCAGTTTGAGGAGCTTTCACAGGGCTTTGTAGCTAGTTTGGTTTTTTTTTAGCTATCTACTCTGCACTTGCTGTTTATGGCAGAGCCCTGATTGCCAACACAGTTGGCAGTACCGTAGCCACTTGTACACCGAATCCAGTCGCTCCCCTACCACTGCCACCCTTGTCAGATCACGCCTGGGCCACAGCCTCTTCCCTGGTCCCTGCTCCCACCTCTGCGGCCTAATCCCCACGTTGCCCAGGGTGAGGGGAGGAGGGACTGTGAGAGTGGAAACCCCACCCCATACCAAAAAAATAAAACACCAAACCAGCTGCCGTGGAGTCAATTGACTCATGGTGACCCCACATGTGTCAGTGTAGAACTGTGCTCCACAGGGTTTCCAATGGCTGATTTTTCAGAAGCAGATCACCAGGCCTTTCTTCTGAGGTGCCTCTGGGTAGATTCAAACCTTTTGGCTAGCAGTTGAGTGCTTAGCCATTTGCACCCCCAGGGCCTCCCCTCAGGGCACAGCTCTCCCTAAAGCCTGCAGGCCATAACCACGGAAATCCCTGTTCTGCTCAAACTGCCTTATCCCCCGAGGCAGCTGGCTGTCCCTGGTCCTGAGCCTCCTGGGTGTCTTACTCAGCCTTGGACCACCAAGCCCAACTCCAGGACTCTTCCTGGGGGCTCCAGCTGACATCCGTGCTGGGTGGGCACTGCTCAGGGAAGAATCAGAGACTCAGACACAAATCTCCCACTCCCTCCCCGCTGCTCACAACAGAGGGAGCACTTTGACTTACTGCCTCTGGTCCACATGCAGGTTGTGTGTGTGTGGGGAGGGAGGGACAACAGGTGGCACCACAGGTACTGAGAACCTGTTCAAGGGCAAGGAGGTGAACACAGCTGCCCCACACCACGACGAGCAGGAGGAGGAGGGACAAGTGCAGCCGAGGGCTGCAGCCATGGGCCCCTCTTCCACATTCCCCAGACAGAATCTTGTCCGTGAATAATGGATGAGCCTCTGCCTCTGTGAAGAGGGAGGTTCAAGTGAAAGGTAACAGGAGAGGAAGGGAGGGGTGGCGCTGACTGGAGCAGGATGGGGGAAAGACATCCTGAGGAGGGAGTGGACTGGAGGGCTCCCACAGACCCTGTGGCTTGCAGGAGGGAAAGGACGTGGCTTGCCCAAGCACAGAGCCAGAGTTGGGGTGGTGAGGAGACCTGGGCAGAGACCAGAGCTGCAGATGGCTGGAGGTGGTCCTGCCAATGGCTTGTAGCCCTGCCTGGGTCCTCTTGCCCTCTTGGGCACTCAGAGAAAGCTCTGGCCTATCTCCCCAGGAAAATGCACACATGTACCTATAAACACACACAAAGCTGCGGGTGCCACCCCAGGGGTCCCAGGAGTCCATGGAGCAAGGTGTTAGCTTGGGTAAGGATCACTGTATTTGGGGGGAGGGAGGCAAGGGACACACATAGTTTGGAAGATGGGGCCCAGCTCTTTTATTTGGTTGGGGAACTGAGGCCTAGCAAGGGGGATACCAGACCAGCTCTGTCACCCTTGTCGGTAGAATGGGAGCCCACGTGGCAGATGTGAGGAAGACGTCCAGCGGGGCCATGGGGTCTAAAGAGCTAGGAGGGCAGTGACCCCAGGGATGAAGGGCGGCCTCATGCTGCATCGAGGGTCCCAGGCCGCCTCCCACCGCCTACCTTGGCTGGACCACGGTGACAGGGGCTCCAGTGGCAGGTGGGCTGGTGCCAGGCCAGCAGGAGCTGGGTTTGCTCCCCATGGGAGATGCCTGGAAAGAGAGAGCACACACATGGAGGGCATGGCCAAGCAAGGCCAGCACAGAGGAGGGGGAGGGTCACCTGGCTCGGCTGCCCTGAACACTGAGGCCAGGACTCCGGGCAGAAGGAAACGTGGGTGAGGGCCACCTGGCGGGGAGCCAGTCAGGCCAGCAAAGCTACTCTCTTTCCCCCACTTGCCTGACATCTGCCCAGCCCCTCTCTCCGCCCATGCTGTCACTCTGCCCTGTGGTCCTGCATCTCCCGGCAGGCATTTCTGTGGGCACTGATGGTCTCATCAGTACACTCACTGTCCCTGACCACTGGGGTGACCACACAAGCCACTGCTTCCCGCACACCCCACAGTCTCTAGAAAGGTGCAGAGAAGCCCACACAGGGTCTCTGGCTGCAGCGTGGTGGGCACAGCATGGTCAAGGGCGAGGTCATCTACCTCAGCCAGACAGGCAGCGTGTATAGTTATCAGGAAAAGACTTTGCAAATATCTTGCAAGGGAAAATTCATAATTAATAGAGAAGAAAACCAATAACCCTGTGAAGTTTAAGTTTCTAAATGTCAACTGTGGTTTAATTTTCGTGGAAAATGTCAAGCTCGACCACAGAGATGACGTAAGTCCCTCTAAGTGGCAGAAGCTGTGGCGGATAGGCAGCAGGGCTGTCTACCTCTTCCGGAGAGAACAAAGTCTGGGAAAGGGGGCTTGTTCTAAAGATGTCCATCCCAATCGGAGGATGGGGTGAGAGGCTTGAGCCACCAGTGCAAAGGGTCCCTGGATGCAAAGGCCATCAAGAACTGCCCGTGTAGGAGCCCTATGAACAATGGCAAAAAGTGGAAACAGCTCAAATGGCCATCAATGGATGAAAGGAGGAACGAAATGGGATACATTCACACAATGGAACGTTACTCAGCCGCGAAAAGAAAGGAATCGCTGACTGATGCTATGACGTGGGTGCATCTTGAAGACACTATGCTTAGGGAGAGAAGCCAGACACTGAAGACCATGTGCTATGTGATTCCATGCACAGGGAATGGCCAGAACAGGTAAATCCCTACAGACAGGAAGCAGATGAATGGCTGTCAGGGGCTGGGGGTGGGAAAGGGGAGTGACTACTATGCAAGCATCTTTTTAGGGTGATGGAAATGTTCTATAATTGGATTGTGGTGATGGTTACATGATTCCATAAATTTATTACAAACTATTGAACTGTACACTTAAAATGGGTGAATTTTATGGCATGTAAATTATACCTAAATAAAGCTCATAGGGTTCTCACAGGGGAGTGATTTTGACCCCCACTGGGACACCTGGCAACGTCTGGAAATATGTTCGGAGGCAGCACTGGAAGTGCTCACTCGTCTATGCCAAGAAATTTGGAAAACAGCTACCTGGCCAACCGACTGGAAGAGATCTATATTTATGCCTATTCCCAAGAAAGGTGATCCAACCAAATGTGGAAATTATCAAACAATATCATTAATATCACACACAATCATTCAAAAGTGGCTACAGCAGAACATTGACAGAGAACTGCCAGAAATTCAAGCTGGATTCAGAAGCGGACAAGGAATGAGGGATATCGTTGCTGATGTCAGATGGATCCTGGCTGAAAGCAGAGGATACCAGAAAGATGTTTACCTGTGTTTTATTGACTATGCAAAGGCATTTGACTGTATGCATCATGACAAATTATAGATAACATCGTGAAGAATGGGAATTCCAGAACACTTAATTGTGCTCATGAGGAACCTGTACATAGATCAAGAGGCAGTCGTTTGAACAGAACAAGGGAATACTGCGTAGTTTAAAGTCAGGAAAGATACGCCTCAGGGTTGTATCCTTTTTACCATACTTATTCAATCTGTATGCTAAACAAATAATCTGAGAAGCTGGACTATACAAAGAAGAACGGGGCATCTCATTAACAACCTGCGTTATACATATGACACAACCTTGCTTGCTGAAAGTGAAGAGGCCTTGAAGTACTTACTGATGAAGATCAAAGACCATAGCCTTCAGTATGGATTACACATCAACATAAAGAAAACAAAACTCCTCACAACCAGACCAATAAGAAATATCATGATAAACAGAGAAAAGACTGAAGTTGTCAAGGATTTCCTTTTACGTGGATCCACAATCAACACCTATGGAAAGCAGCAGTCAAGGAATCCAAAGACCCATTGCATTGGGAAAATCTGCTGCAAAAGACATCTTCAAAGTGTTCAAAAGCAAAGACGTCAACTGGAAGACTTAGGTGGGCCTGACCCAAGCCATGGTGTTTTCAACTGCCTCATAGGCATGCGAAAGCTGGACAATGAATAAGGAAGACCGAAAAAGAACTGATGCCTTTGAATTATGGTGCTGGCAAAGAATACTGAATATACCATGGACTGCCAAAAGAACGAACAAATCTGTCTTGGAAGCAGTGCAACCAGAATGCTCCTTAGAAGTGAGGATGGCGAGACTTCGTCTCACATACTTTGGACATGTTATCAGGAAGGATGAGTCCCTGGAGAAGGAGATCATGCTTGGTAAGGTAGAGGGTCAGTGAAAAAGAGGAAGACCCTTGACGAGATGGATTGACACAGTGGCTGCAACAATGGGCTCAAGCATAATGATTGTGAGGATGGCACAGGACTCGGCAGTATTTCGTTCTGTTATACCTAGGGTTGCAGTGAGTTAGAACCGATTCAACAGCACCTAACAAAAACACAAGGACACCTGGTAATGTCTGGAAACATGTTTGGTTATCCCAACTGCAGGGGTGGGGGATGAGGACAGGGGCATTACTGGCATCTGGTGGGTCGAGGCCAGGGATGCTGCTAAATATCCTACAGTGCATGGGACACCCCCACCACAGTGATCTGGCCCCAAACATCAGTAGTGTCAAGGTGGAGAAGCCCTGCTGTAGCCAAGAAAACCCAATGAAGCAGTTCTACTCTGTAAAAACATGGGGTTACCATGAGTCGGGGACCAACTTGACGGTAGCTAACAACAATGGCGTCCAAGCCCAGGCGTACAGAAGGCTGCATCTGCCGGCCCCCCTACGGGAGCCACTGTGAGAAGATACCAAACTTTCCCTGAGGGAAAACCGGCTCCTGTCACTGCTGTGCAAACTCCCAGTCCTGTTCCTCCCTGATGCCATGTGGGGGTGTGCTGCTGAGGTCAAGGGTCACTATGCCTTGTCACCAGGAGAACGGCTGTCACTGCTCTCTCAATCTGAGCTCTGTAACCAAGGACCCTTGCCCACATGCGGGGCTACCGGGCGTGGCTCTGCCTTCCCACAGGAACCTGCTGGGTGGCTGGGTCGCCCTGACTTGCTCAGGAATGCCCAGTGTCAAAACAAAGCACACCCAAGTGCTGGCAGCCTGGCCTGAGTGCTGGTTCCTCCCCCAGCTGGTCCGACCACCTGGTCCTGATTTCTTGATGTTCTCAAAAGCGCAAAGCCTCTGCCAGCCTGTCTGGAAGGGCTCACAGGTTCACTTGCTGGATGCTGCCTGGGCAAAGCTGATCCCAAACCTTCCAACTTCTTCCCCAACCTTCTCCCCAGCCACCGCCCAAGAGGCCAGGGGCGGGGAGCAGCTTACTTGGCTCTTCTTTCCAAGGGAGGGTTTGCAGTTTTTAATGGGCGAGGCTCCCAGGATAACATCTCGGCTGTGTCCAGCCCCTGGAGTCTACCTCTCCCAGATCAAGGGCCATCTCGTCCACACTCTAACACCATACTGCACTGGGAACTTGCTTTCAGCAACACCATCTGACAACATCGTGAAATGGGTGGGCACCTGCAGGCTGGCTGGCAGAGGTTAATCGCTGTGCCTTCCGTGTGGTGGCCAGGCCAGGCACGAGGGCCGGGGCTGAGGAACCACTGACAGGTCAGCACTGCGGATGGTCAGAGTGACCCTGGAGATGGCCAGGAAGCACCCTCTCTGTGTCCAGCCCAGCCTTGCGACCCTCCCAGGTTGGAACAGCGGGCCATTGCTTCAGTTGTGCTGTGCTCAGGAGCTGTGGTTCTACGAAAACCTGGTAACTAGGTGCTGTAGAGTTCATCCTGCTCATGGCGACCTTATGTGTGTCAGAGTACAACTGTGCTCCACAGGATTTTCAATGGCTGAGCTTTTGGAAGTAGACTGCCAAACCTTTCTTCCAAGGCTCCTCTGGGTGGACTTGAATCTCCAACTTTTCAGTTAGCAGCTGAGCGCATTCACCGTTTTGCACCACCCAGGGACTCCACTCTACGAAAAAGGGTTCTTTAAACACTGGACTCAGGCAGGTGGGGCCCATGCTAACCACAGGGGCAGGGACCACGTTTAATTTTTCTCCTGACACGGAGCAGGTGCTCCATAAATAGGTGCTGATTGGATTTTTAATGTCTCAGCAGAGATGGCCAAAGAAACAGGCTGACACATGAAAAGCAAACAAGCTCCAAGTTCCAGGGCAGGGTGGCTGAGGCGCAGCTTCAGAATCAGGCCGACCTGGAAGCAGGCCCAGCCTCCTCTGCTCACAGCTGTGTCACCTCCAGCAGGTACCTGACCCCCTTCAGCCTCTTGGCCGCACCCAGTGTGTGGAAAGAGTACCTACCGCCTGCCTCCCAAAGGCAACTGCCAAGCACTCAGTCTGGCTCAGGTGCGCCAACCACCAGGGTTGCTCCACTTCCTGAAATGAGGCAGCCACCTGCCCTGACAGGTGATCAGGGACAGCTGGCACAGACTCAGCAGCCGAAGAAGGCAACACCTGGGCAGCTTTTCTACTGCCCTGTCAGGTGGGCAGGTCCCGGAAGGAGGCAAAACCCTTACAAATTCCAGTGGGAAAAGAAAATCACACACACATACATATGTATAAAACCAAACCAGCGGCCATCGAGTCAATTCTAACTCCTGGTGGCCCCATGTGTGCAGAGTAGAACTTTGTTCCATAGGGTTTTCGAGGCTATTTGTTATTTATTTTTATCCATCTATTTATTTTTCATTCATTCATTAATAGAGTCCTATCAGAATCTTCAGTGACCCTACAGATGAGCAAAGGCTCTTTGTCAGTTCGGGGGTGACATTCCTCCCCAGACCCAGTTGGGGGTCACGGGCTCACCAGGTCGCCCTTCTCGGTCCAGGGCTTGCAGCCAGGGAGGGCCGCTGAAGGGTGGAGGGGCCGGCACAAAACTGCAGCTCCCAGGGGCTCAGAGAGGGAGGGTGACTGCCTGGGCCAGCAGACTAACTGCTCCGCGGCCCCCTGACTCTTCAGCCCTTCCATGGGGCAGGTCCATCAGAGGCAGGTCTGACTCTTCCAGAAAACCACTTACTCATTACCCACCCAAGTTGCAACTCAGACCCCTGAAGGCATCTGCTGTGAAAACAGGACCCTGCACACCCCCAACTTCCTCCAGGGAGGGCTCGCGGCTGTCTGGTACCTGCTTGGGGATAGTCCAGCTGGACCGCAGGGGAGCTCTTACCTGCCCAGGTGGGGCTTCGAAGTCGGGGGCATCCAGAGCATCCTGTATCTGGCTGTCGGGCAGGAAGTCCAGTTCCATGGGTGAGGAGCACCCCCAGACGGCCTGGTCTGCAGGGTCCAGAGCAGTGTGGGCCTCGGGCCCCTGGGAAGGGCCATCCACCACTTCCCTATGCTCTGGTGGGCTAGTGGCTCGGAGGGACAGGCTGTGCCCCGGGGGCTCAGGGTCTAGCCGGCTCTCACCACCTGGCTCGGCTGCCTTCCCACCCAGAGGCTTTGGGGAAAGCAGCGCACACACGCCCACCGGCTCCTCCTGACCAGGGCTTAACATCTGTTTCAGATCTACACCTGGACCCGCTTCTGTGGCGAGAGGGCCAGAATCACCACCAACTACTGTAGGCTCTTGGTTCTCCTGAGCAGGAACCCGGGCGGCCACAGGAGGCCCTGGGGCATCGCCAGGGGGCTTGTCTTCTGGCCCTGCCTCCCCCTGGACTCCCACTGCCACCAACGAGCAGGGCAGGGCCACACTGTGGCTGCTGTTGGGGGCCTGCCGGTGCAGCCTGGCCACCTTCAGAGCCCCCGGTGGTAGTGCTGTGGGGTCTGTGCTCCAGTTTGTAACGATGACAACAGGCCTGCTGGGCGTCTGCACGTGGCTGGGGCAGCCCTGGGTGGCAGACCCAGGCTCTGGGCCCTGAGACACAGGGCTCAATCTCCGAGCAGGATCAGGGCCCAGGGCACCTGGAATGCCTTCTCCTTCCTCCTGGGGGGCTCCTCCGTGCGGCTCCTTCCCTTCAGACTCATTACTGGGTGGGGGCCCTTTCTGGCCAGGACCCTCAGGAGCCAAACCCTTCTCTGTGCCAGGCCTGCCGTTCCCTTGTGGTTCCACTAGGAAGCCAGATTGGAAGCTGCTGTTTCCACCACGGGTCCCTGGCTCTGACGGATGTTCCTGGCTGGCCCTCTCTGAGGCAGAGGGCACCGCCCCCCAGCTTGGGGAGCCGTCAGGGGACATCACGGGCAGAGAAGCCCCAGTGCCCGGCACAGGCTTTGGGGGGAGCTGGCTGTGCTGCTCTGGGCAGGTGACAGTGGCCTGTGCCTGGTCCTTCAGGCCTCCTTCCTCCGTGAAAGCCAGCCCCGGCAATGCATGCAGCTGCTGGCTTCCCACCTGAGGGGCACTGGGCTCCTGCAGTGTTTCCTGTGGAGAGAAAAAGACTTAGCCTGGGACCCTCACTAATCCACCCTTTGGAATAATGTTCTAGTACTCACTCACTGGCCCTGTCCTAAGTCTTGGTGCTGTGGATGCCCATATATCACCTACCACTCTGCCCTGAACCACCAGAACCAGTGCCAAGTGAGCTTTTGCTGGGGGCTGGAGGGGGCTGGGAGCCCGGAAGCCCTCCTTCCAGCAGCTTCCTCTCCCAGCCAGGCAGCTCTCAGGAAGATCAGGGGCCTAGGGTCGCACCCATGGCAGTTTCCCGGTTTTGATCATGGACTTCAGTTATGTAATAAGATGTCACCATTGGAGGAGGCTGAAGAAGGGTACATGGGACCTCTCTGTACTGTTTTTGCAACTTCCTGTGAGTCTATAATTATTTCAAGGCAGATAAAAAGTTTAAAAAAAAAAAAAAAAAGCAAAGCATCCCTAATGGGTTCTCTCCTGTCACTGCATGGTCAGCTCCGTGAGGGCAGAACTGGGTTAAGCGTGCTCACTGTCCCGTCTCCCCAGTGCTGGGGCAGTGCCTGGCACTGAGAAGCCTCGCAATAAGTATTTCTGGGATGAATCTTAAAGGTCTGACCACGTGGACTCACGTGTGTGTGGAACGCACAGGCCCGCAGCAGTATTATCAGCAATCAAGAGTGCAGTTAGGGAAAAAAAAAGAGTGCAGTGAGGGGACTCACAGACCCCTGCGCACATGTGTTCACAGCAGCACTGTTCACAAGAGCCAAAAGGTAGGAACAACCCAAGTGTTCATCAACAGATGAGTGGATAAATCCCATGTGGTATATGGGTGCAATGGCATATTACCCAGCCTTGAAAAGGAATAAAGCACTGATACATACTTCAACGTGGATGAACCTCAAAAACATGCTGGGTGAAAGAAGCCGGACACCAAAGATCACATGTTGTGTGATTCCATTTACATGAGATATATAGACCAGGCAGATTCATAGACACAGAGAGCAGATTGGTGGTTGCCAGGGGCTGGGGGTAGCAGGGAAAAGGGAGTGACTGCTAATGGGTACGGGGTTTCCCTTTCGGGGTGATGAAAAGTTCTGGAACTAGACAGTGGCGATGGTTGCTGTTGTTGTTGTCAGGTGCCGTCGAGTTGATTCTGACTCATAGCGACCCTATGTACAAGAGAAGGAGACACTGCCCGGGCCTGCGCCGTCCTCACAATCGTTACGTTTGAGCCCACTGTTGCAGCCACTGTGTCAGTCCTTCTTGCTGAGGGTCTTCCTCTTTTTTGCTGACTTTCTATTTTACCAAGCATGATGTCCTTCTCCAGGGACTCATCCCTCTTGATAACATGTCCAAAGTATGTGAGCATTCTGGCTGTACTTCTTCCAAGACAGATTTGTTCATTTTTCTGGCATCCATGGTAATATTCAGTATTCTTCCCCAGCACAATTCAAACGCATCAATTCTTCGGTCCTCCTGATTCACTGTCCAGCTTTCACATGCATATGAGGCGACTGAAAGCACCACGGCTTAGGTCAGGGGCACCTTAGTCCTTAAAGTGACATTTTTGCTTTTTAACCCTTTTAAAGAGGTCTTTTAGAGCAGATTTGCCCAATGCAAGGTGTTGCATAACATTGTGAATATAATTAATGTCACTGAACTGAATGGTACACTCAAAAATGGTTAAAATGGCAAGTTTTATGGTATATATATATATAT